AAAACAAATGCCCCGCAACGGTGACAGTTCCCATGACATAACACCACTCTTTTAACATCAACTTACATGTACCTTGGTCACATGGAACATTCATTGACAGCATTAGTGTCTTCTGTAGGTTTTATATGAATTAATCCCTAATCCCTATAATCTCAGAATAAATACATGATTTCTATTGTTTTAGCCACTGTGAACTTGACCCTTGACCTTTTGGCCCCAAATTCAATAGGCTTCTTAGGATTACCAAGAACAATCCACAAACCAAATTTGAAGTTCATATGTTAAGTATTTCTCAAGTTATCGCGCTGACAAGATTTCTATTGTTTTAGCCACTGTGAACTTGACCCTTGACCTTTTGGCCCCAAATGCAAAAGGCTTCTTAGGATTGCCAAGAACAATCCACAAACCAAATTTGAAGTTCACATGTAAAGTATTTCTCAAGTTATCGCGCTGACAAGATTTCTATTGTTTTAGCCACTGTGAACTTGACCTTAGGCCTTTTGGCCCCAAATGCAAAAGGCTTCTTAGGATTGCCAAAAACAATCCACAAACCAAATTTGAAGATCATATGTAAAGTATTTCTCAAGTTATCACGCTGACAAGATTTCTATTGTTTTAGCCACTGTGAACTTGACCTTTGGCCTTTTGGCCCCAAATGCAAAAGGCTTCTTAGGATTACCAAGAACAATCCACAAACCAAATTTGAAGTTCATATGTTAATTATTTCTCAAGTTATCGCGCTGACAAGATTTCTATTGTTTTAGCCACTGTGAACTTGACCTTTAGCCTTTTGGCCCCAAATGCAAAAGGCTTCTTAGGATTACCAAGAACAATCCACAAACCAAATTTGAAGATCATATGTAAAGTATTTCTCAAGTTATCACGCTGACAAGATTTCTATTGTTTTAGCCACTGTGAACTTGACCTTTGGCCTTTTGGCCCCAAATGCAAAAGGCTTCTTAGGATTACCAAGAACAATCCACAAACCAAATTTGAAGTTCACATGTAAAGTATTTCTCAAGTTATCGCGCTGACAAGATTTCTATTGTTTTAGCCACTGTGAACTTGACCTTTGGCCTTTTGGCCCCAAATGCAAAAGGCTTCTTCGGATTACCAAGAACAATCCACAAACCAAATTTGAAGTTCATATGTTAGGTATTTCTCAAGTTATCGCGCTGACAAGATTTGTCCGTACACACACACACACCCACCCATACTTGTTTCACATGACTAGTGTGGACTTTCCATTGCTTTCGTGTAGTTAAGAAAAACCAGTGAAAAAACTCATTTTTCTCAAACTGTGAAAACTCTTTCAACCCAATTTTTTTTCTATGATTCCCTTTAGTGTTTCTCTTCATTCTGCTACAGATAAACCTAACCCAAAAATGCCTCTAAACCTGTTTTCCAGAAATGGGGAAACACTGTGTGGACGTGGGCAAGTCCACACAACGTCGGTGCTACCTACATTATGTGGACGTCTTTTGTTCGGAAGTCCACACTGCGTATGTAAGACAAGCTCACCCACACACACCCCCACCCACGGAAGGACAAGGCGGAAACAGTATGCCCCTTCGGCTTCGCCGCGGGGCATAAAAATAGAGGTCTACAGAACATAGGACTTCCCGCATTTCACGTTTTTTACAAGATTATGCTTTGTTTGTCCGTGTGCAATCATGTTCAATAATGTTTAATTTCATGTACGAACACAACTCTGTGATTAACATGCTGCTTATATTGACATACCCAAGTTTGATTTCTAAATTTTTGAAATCCATAAAATGATCAAGCCTTGAAAGCACAATTGAGTGAATAAGTTCCACCGCTCAGTGGTTTGTTATTACTTTATCCACACCCTTCCCCTCCAAAAAAAACCAGCAACGTTTCCAAATAAAAGAGTCCTTATTAAATGATCATGAAGCTCCATGAAAACGAGCAACTTAATTTATGGAAAAGCAACATATTTAATACCAGGCTGCTATAAGCCCATACCATTTAACTTGAAACCAAGTCGCCGTTGTGTTTTGTCTGACGAGGCCCCCAATATTTACTAGCACGGCACTCGCTAGCGCCATGTATTGTGCTTAAACATCCAGAGCACATCCGGAATGCATTTTTTTTTAATAATTAGAACTTTGACATTTGGCCTATGGGGTCCGAAAGCGACTGGCAATCCTAAGAACTACCCACGTAGCTGTGATCACAAATGCACTTAGTCTCAACTTGATATGCCAAGTTTTTCCTGAGTTACATGTGTATGTTGAAAAAAAATATTCCTGTCTTTAATAATCATAAAAATCCTAATCTTTGGCCTAAGGGGTCCAAAAAGTGACAGGTTTATGAGAAGATCCCCAGCTTAAATAAAATACCAAGTTTTAAGTTGATATGACAAGTCTTGTTTGTGCTATGCTGGGGAAAACTATTGCTATTGTTTTAACCATAATGACCTTTGCCTTTGATTCATGAGTTCTTAACTCGTTAAGCTTCATTAAGCTGTGTTCAGGCCGTGACTTTGCTTAAGTTACGCTGTGTATATAATGCTGATGCGCGCAGCCATACAAGTGAATGTACTGTGCGATGCTGACACTAGCTTGCATGAAAAAAGCGTAATCAGGTACAAGGCTGAACGGGTTATATGCTGGTGTGGTGTACATTCTTAGATTGGCGTGTATTGTTTACATTTACGTACATTACTTACATTGGCATGTATTATTTACATTGGCATGTATTGTTTATTTTGGCGTAGATGTATTGTTTACATTGCTGTACATTACTTACATTGGTGCGCGTTGTTTACATTGGCGTAGATGCATTGTTTACATTGCTGTACATTACTTACATTGGCGCGCATTGTCTACATGGCGTTTATGTATTGTTTACATTGCTGTACATTACTTACATTGGCGCGCATTGTCTACATTGGCGTAGATGTATTGTTTACATTGCTGTACATTACTTACATTGGTGCGCATAGTCTACATTGGCGTAAATGTATTGTTTACATTGCTGTATATTTGGCGCGCATTGTCTACATTGGTGTACATTGCTGTACATTACTTACATTGGCCTGTGTTGTTTACATTGGCGTGCATTGTTTACATTGGTGTGTATTACTTACATTGGCGTGTATTATTTACATTGGCATGTATTGTTTATTTTGGCGTAGATGTATTGTTTACATTGCTGTACATTACTTACATTGGCGCGTGTTGTTTACATTGGCGTGCACTTGCTTACATTGGTGTGTATTACTTACATTGGTGTGTTTTGTTTACATTATTGTACATTGTTGATGCTGTGCGCATTGCTGCTTATATGAGAAGTGGTCGGGTTGTCTCCCAACTATAATTAAGTGACCCTGGTAATAGATCAGCCCAATTAGATCCCAGTTATAACTGTATAGTTCTTGATTATTGTATAATAAATTACAGTTGTAATTGTTGTGCTGACAATCCTGTTGTCAAGGTGTATTTCTTGCAGGTTTATTGTACAATTAACAGACAGTAATCACAATCATCATAATCGGCGGTAAATTTCCTCCAAAACAGACCTGCTCCCTAAGCCTTGACGTCGCTCTGAGTGGTCTCTCGTCTTGGGAAAGTTTGGGCTTGGGAAGATCAGCTGCACTCCAATATGAGTCAGACTTGGTCCCTATCAACTTCGCTTTGGCCGGGGGAGATCCCGGGCATGCCGTCACAATATTATGGGGACCAAAGACGCTATGGGGACAGCAGAAAGTCCCCATAACTCAGTCCTAATTTCCCTAACAATTACAAACTTCGTGTTTTCCTTTGTCCCTGTAATATAACACTCTCCCAAAGCCTAAGCACATAAATGATGAACGTTGAAGTCAACAAAGAATCTGTTGTCCTCCCTTTGTCTGTCAGTCCTCGGATGTATATAGTGTACGCCCACACGTTTGTTCTTGGTCCGTAACAGTGGGGACTACACAATTGTTGTCCCATGGTATTATGGGGCCAAAGACACTATGGGGACAGCAGAAAGTCCCCATAACTAGGTTTTTATTTCCTTAACAATAAAAACCTTCCCCTTAACGCTGGCACACAGACGGACAAGGCGGAAACAGTATGCCCCTTCGGCTTCACCGATGGGGCATAACCACATTCAATGATTGTTTTCTTCCAAACAATACCATTTCAAGTGGAATAATTTCACAGGGTATTAGGTACCTTTGAAGAAGGTTTTGGTCATTAAATCAGTTGGTCCGTTTCCGGGTATTCACCAACGTTACCACTACGGTACATCATGAGCTTTAAAATGACAACAAACTCGGAGCATTCCTACCTTACAATAGGAAGTTAAGGTTATATAAACTAATTGTTTTTTCTGCAATTTTCAGAAATTGATAGATTTGGGGGTTAGTATATTTCATAGCAAATATTGTCACACTAACCTATTAAAAGTTTTATGTTCATAGATGCTGGGAAAAACCAAGAAAAAACATGCTGCTCTTGTAGCCTGGTTCCCTGACCCTACTTCAGATGAAATGGAGCAATTTATAATTGGCGGGGCATTGTCAGGTCAGGGAACCAGACTAACCGGCTTACACCCATTCACGGATGTGCAACTGATTGCAAACAAAATGTATTTCAGAAAAGTCAGGTTTTTTCCAACGACTTGGTCGTAAGTTTCCCAACAAACAAAAAAACTTCCCCACAACGTACGCGTGGTCAACGATAACGTGACATACTTAGGAAATCATCCAATAGTATACCAACGGTTCTTGATAAAACTTTTGGGGTGTGTTTGAGCATGTTACTCGTGTTAACACGGGTATACTCCTGAGCGCACAAACGGCAGGAGTACGACCCGCGGGTTAGCAAGGGTATGCTCTCCGTCATACCGGGAGTATACTCCTGCACCGAGAGTGATACGCACGCAGCATTTTCCTGCACTCAGGAGTAGCAAGAGTAACACGCCCAAACGCACCCTTGAAGGGTTTTTGTAAGATGAATGGTCACCTCGGCGACCTATGAACTCACCTCCCGGATGTACTTGATGCCTTCCGTGGCAAAGAGGATCTGTTGCATGTCGCTGGGCATGGCTAGCGGCTTACTGGTGGGGATGATCAATGTCCGCTGCCTCGGTGGATAATCCCCTTGATCTGGGGATTAACAGTAATCCACAATAAGTCCAATTCAATCATTGCTATTCTGATATGAAAATTAACTCTAACCATCCTCAATCCTCCAAAATCCTCATGGCAGTTTAGGAGGATTTTGGAAGATTGAGGCTGAATGGCAAAAAGTGTCCGTTCATTTTGGATCCTGCATTGTTTATTTTGCAGCCATGCATTACTGAGCCCTGCATTGTGCTCAATATCATCCGCACTGCTTCTGAATGTCATCAGCACTGCCTCAACCCATTAACAGTGAATTTTAAAGGATTGAGTCAATGGTCACTCCTCCATTGATTTTGGAGGATTGAGGATGGTTCCTAGCCAAAATTGTAATGCTTATATAGCGCTTTCCATTATAACAACGATCTCAAAATGCTTTACAAATATTCTCCGTTCATCAGGCCACGAGACCACATAGCAGCCGATATCAGCGTACATTTGGTCCTCTCACAGGTACCCATTCATACTCCTTGGTGGAGAGAGGCAATTGTAGTTACGTGTCTTGCCCAAGGGCACAAACACCATGCTCCTGGCAGTAGAGTAGTACAGTACTTATGCACAGTCCATACACCAGACAGCCAGACTTACCGATTGTTCTGAACTTGGAGACCTCACAGTACAGGATCATGACAGCCAGCATCGTGTGGAGATAAGTGAACTCTTTGGTTTGCAGGGACGTCCATCGCCTCGTCTGAACATCCTACGCAGGCAAAAAAATCAATAAAAGTCTTAAGAAAAGAACTGCCTAATACAGGGTGAAACAAAATGAAACCCAAATGTCGGGACTGTAGTTTAAGTGAAGTTCTGCATGTAGCACTTTCAAAATCTAAAATGTGAAAGCCCAATTCATAAGCTTTCTTTTAGTACAAGAATCATTCAAATCACTCGTGTACTTTTCAAGTTACGGAATTTTAAACACTACCACCGTTTTAACTGTTTTTCACTGCCTTACATACCTCCTCGTTCTGTGCAGTGTGTGGGCCCAAGAGGAACGTTACGATCCGCCGCACGGCAGACTTAGTGAACAGATGTTTGCAGCATACAATGTCCTATGAGTGGAAAAGACAACATATTTTTAAATGATACCTTTTTTAAACCTCTAGTAGCAATTTAAACACCATTAAGGCCTTTTAACACAAATCTCGGGGTTTGGTTGACACAGGGTTGACGGACGGTCAAAAATATGCAGCATTTCACTTCTGAAAATGTTCAACCCTGTGTCAACCCTGTGATTGATATTGCCCCAGGTTGAACTCCACCCAGCTCCAGACCAACTCCAAAACTAGAACATACACAGTATAACAACTGTTTCTGAACTACAGATTTTGCTTTGTTGTACATGTATTCTTGAATTTTGTGTAACGCTCCTATGCAAACATACATTCTGTGCAAAGTTGTCCTTTCAGTCAAAATCAATCAAGTGACTGTTTTCCACAGTTAAGCGTTCCCAGTCTACATAACACAGGATTGACTGGTTGTGACTGTTTATGTAACTTGATAAAGCTATGCTTTGACTGCGAGTGATTAATATGCCAGCTGTGCCAATCACCTGTCTGTTTTTGTCTGTTGACTTCATTTGACTAGTCGCAGTGCTTGCTTGATTTATGATCTGACTGTTGGTGACTAGCCTGTGTAAAAGGCATGGCAGGGGAAGAAGATTGATTTTTTTTGACTGTCTGTGACTGTTCAGACAGAAGGAGGGTTCAGTATTTAACAGCCGTTGAAACAAATTTCTGGGCAGAGGGCAGGATTCTAGACGGTAAGGAAGTGGCGCTTAATGCATTTTGGAAGCAACCTCTTCATTTATTGAACTCACCGCATCCAGGTAGGAGCTGAGAAGCCAGAAGTACTGCTGGCACGTCTTGCAGTGGTCTGGCACCTCCTTGTCCAGCAGCGAGAGCAGGTACTCGATCAGGCTATTGAGAGGTTGGGAACTAGACACCAAGGCCGGACTGAAGTGGACGAAGCTCTGCAGGATGTACTGCATGATGCGGCCAAAGGCGATGCGGACCTCACGTGTGGGACACTCGAGTAAAAATTGCCTGGAAGAAAGAAAATAAGGCAATCGTAAATTGACATTACGTCCTGTAATGTGCCCAATTGGGCTTTAAACCACACCAAGAGAGCATTTGTGATGCGATCAAGCTGAATGAGTCGTTTGTCGACCCCGGTCAAAATTTTTGTTATTACAGATTTGAAAAGAGCGCAATCTCAGCATTACTGCTGTGAAAACCGCATGCAGATACCACCTTTAGTTAAAAAATTATGGAAGTCAGAACACCAAGAGATGAGATGAAGTGATGTGATGAAGTGGCCCTATTTTGGCCTGTATCTCCAAATGAAACTTCCCGACAAACGACTCATGTAGCTTGATTGCATCACATTTATAGCATAAACATCCACACAACCACACACGTTTGTTTATGGTGTAAATCAAGGATTTCCTTTTGTTCCTCTTCCCTTTTCCTTTGTTTGTACTTTTTTCGCAACAGCTCTCATCGATTTGGTTCCTGTGTCACATGAAAATCCGACTCCTATGAAAATCGGACCCCTTTTTCCCTATTATTGGTTAATCCCTCGCACGTGACTGGTCACTCTCCCGAAACGATCCTAAAAATAGCATAGTATCGTACTCACGCGTGCGCAATACTACCAATGAGTCCACATTTCATGGAGTCGGATATTCACGCTACACCTGTCCTAAATTCATCGATGATGTTGCACTTGTGCCCTCGATTTACACCATAAACAAACGCACCCTATAAAAATCTGGACGTTTTGGTGTTATTCTTGTAAGAACAAATTTCAGGGGCCTCAAAAATTTCACTGTTGGGTGCTAGTCGTAATTCCTGCCGTACATATTATCATTGCATTGGATTCAGCGGATGTGCGAGAAACAACATTTGTGTACTTGTTCTAAGATAACCCCCGAGGACAGACACACAAAGAGACAACAACAGATCCTTTCAGTCCTCGGGAGTTGGGTCTTTTGTTCAAAACGGTCCTCTGCGGTAGGTTTGTGTGCTTAGTCTATGGGAGTGTGTTTTATTACAGGGACAAAGGAAAACACAAAGCATTGTCCACGGGAGTATAGTAAAACAAGAGAGGGTGTTTATTACATGTATGTGCCAACATACACACAACTCATTCAACCGTGAAGAGTTACTCACTTGATGTACGTCTGGCCTTGCGGACTGGCCATGAAAGTCAGCGCCCACGTTGATCCTTCCTTGCTCTGGATGACCAGTTGCTCAATGCAGCCCCACCACTCGCCTATATCAGACCTGCGTTGGGTATTACAGCGGAAATTAGATCTGAGGAGTTACTATTTGTAAAATATATTATGATATGCCAATCAGTTCTGTCCAAGGGCTTACCAGAAAAAAAATTCACACGCTTACTCCAGGGGGACTCGACCCAACAACCTCCCACTTACACAACTGGTTACGAGTGCAGATGTCTATCCAATCATCCACCGAGCTTGCCTGGGTCGGCTGGCTGGTTTAAAACTGATATGGAGTACCGAAGTGAATACGTCACGCGAACAAATTGTGTGTCAAAGACATGAGCGCGTGATTCAGCCAGAAAACCAACACGCGCGCGTACTCCATTCGTCTGCACTACACTTTCTGGTTCTAAATGACGTTACACTTCATTACTCCATAGCAGCAGGTACCACAACCAATCACTATTTATATGTTGGCTTTTTTCTCTTTTTTTGGAAAGTTTTGTTTTAACTGACATATCAAACTGATAAGATTTTATTTGCTTCCTACTGCATGTGAAAAACGTTGCTTTGCTCACCAAATTTGAGTAGTTAGCAACAGGTCTATCAAAAATTGGCCTACTGCCATTGAAACCAATAATAGATTTTTGCAGCCATGTGGTACATAAAGTTACTTACTTTATCATGAGGAGACGTCATAATAAATGGGATCAAAGTATGATGGTGCAGTTATAAATGCATGGTTTCAAGCTGGTTAGGGGCCTGGCCGATACTAATGTTCGGCTCAGGCTATCCATCTTTTGCACGAGGAAGCCATTCTTGATCGTGTTCCCTGAATGTATTTTATGAATTGTCAACTGTTGAATGGGATGGTGCCAGACTATTTATGCCTTCCAAGCCTCACTTTCAATTTTTCTGAATGCTCATTGGTTAACTGCCATGTACTTACACAACAACAAATCACCAAAGAAAAGAAAATTTATGACAGCAAAATATCCAAAATTATAGGAACTTTTTGTGCTGAAATAGCTGTAACATTGTGGTTTCTGCCCGGAATGACATCACAGGTTTGCACATGAATACGGTAATTTGAATTAGCATAAAAACAAAAAGACATCAAAATACCCTTGGATATGGCAATATGAAATTTAAAATAAGGTTAAATGGAACACAAAGATGCATTTTGAAGGATAGCATTAAATAAATGCTATCTACAATGCATGGGCCCTTTTAGCCCCATAAATGTGGCCTATTTACTGGACTGCCTCCGTAAACATAGGCCACACGTCCACATGTACAAAAATCGTGTCGACTTTGCCAAATTTTGCTTTTCACATGAAGGCTTAGTTTGTAGGTTTTTTTTTTCTTTAGAAGCATACTCACCCTCTTTATAGGCTAATCAGAAAGTGCTGCCTTTTTCAGATGTATATTTTTTGTGAAATTTCAAGATTCATTTTTACACGTTTGCGTATCAAAATTTCAACATGAAATTTCACAAAAATTTGACATCTGAAAAAGGCAGCACTTTCTGAATAGCCTATAAAGTGGGTGAGTATGCTTCTAAAGCAAAAAAATCCTACAAACTAAGCCTAAATGTGAAAATCAAAATTTGGCAAAGTCGACACGATTTTTGTACATGTGGACGTGTGGCCTATGTTTACAGAGGCAGTCCAGGAAATAGGCCACATTTATGGGGCTAGGGCCCTTTAAGAGTCAAATGGAATGCTGCCCTCAGAACTCACCTGGGTTTCTTTTTGGTTCGGAAGTAATTGTTGAATAGAAACTGGAAGGCTAGTTGCAGGCTGGTGACGGCACAGGAATCGTAGTAACTGCTCAGTGTGAAGGACTGCAGATTGACAAGAAGAGCAATATTTTTGAAGAGGAGTTTTTTTTTTTTAAAGTATTCTCGATCAGGGTAATGATTTAGGGGTACACTTTATAAGCAAATACCAAAAGTTGCAAATTTAAAGATTACGCGAGGAGAAATTGCTCAGCGCAAACTGCACGCCCGTAATTGGCGCCTATCAACTGCACAGTGCCCGAACAAAGCGCGGGTAATTCAATTCCTCGTGCTATCATGCATATACAAGCACTGCGCAATCAATATTCCCTGCCGTTCGTTTTGGGCACTGTAACATTGTCACGCAGCAACTTCCATTCACCTTCTCACATATAATTTGCAAATTTACCAACTGCATCATTTTTCATGAACCATTGTCAATGTTGGACAGTTTACAGTCTTTGGTAGCAAACTGGGCATCAAAATGTAGCTAAATTCCCCTCAGGTCTATATCAATGACGTTATCATAAGACGATCAGATTCAAAATTATGACCCTAAAATGAGTGTGGACTTTTTTCTTTTTTTGGGCGGTGTTTATTTGAAAATCTAGTAATAGCAGAAAATCCCATGCTGACGGTGGGCGTATTTCACATGAAACCAAAGAAGTTGGGCTTGTGTGTATGATGAAGTGTACTCCAACGGCTTGATTTTTGAGGATTTTTGAGTTTTGTACCCTGAAATTCCTTCGTGCAGTAATGTCAGCAAATTTGAAAGGTATAGTTGTGTTGAGCATTTGTATCTTAACTTACATTTTAATGATCTGCCCAACTATTATCATTGTGTGGTAAACAAGTTTTCACGCCAGAATTGGCACTTTTTTGTAAACAAAAAAAATCCCTGAAGCTGTTTTTGGACTCACCACATTGCAGGATGCAAGGCTCCGGACAAAGGTGAAGTAATCGGTGTCATAGATGGCGCGGTTCCACAGGAACTGGAGGTTGTTGTCGCGTATGACGCGCTGGATCCCTGGCGGCATGCGGTCCATGAACATCCCCCGGTGCTCCCACTTGCGCACCAGAGCAGTCAGCTCGCTGAGACGATCGCCGTCGTGGTATGGGGACAGCTCAGGGGGAATTGACTGGTTCCAAACTGGTGGGAAAACACAAGAAATAGCTTTACTCGTCGATATGTAAACGATTTTGACAACCAGGGGCTTAAGGACTCCGTGAGTGAAACTTGCGCAATCCCCCTGGCATGCTGGCAGATTTTATAGTCAGTTAGTACGGATACTTGTCAGTGCCCGTAACCAAAACGGAAGATTTCTATTGTTTTAGCAAAATTGACCTTGACCTTTGACCTGTCGGCCCCAAAAGCAACAGGCTTGATAAGGCTGCCAAGAGCAACCCACAAACCAAATTTGAAGACTACAGGAACATGATTGTTTTTCTTGTTTTTTTTCCAGCATCTACAAACATAAAACTTCAAACAAGTCGGTGTAGCAATATTTGCTATAAAATACTAACCCCCAAAATCCATCCTTTTCTGCAAATTACAGAAAAAGCATGTAGATACCAAAAAGCTGAAATCTCTTAGATTTTTCAACCCAACATTTTGGAGAAAACGTGTTAAAAGCTGTGGAAAAGAGTACTGTTTACGACAACTTACATGTGAATCTCGCCTTCGCTGTCTTGCTTGAGAAGTATGATAATGTTGGGTAAAAATAAACAACAAAATCCTTGTATGGAGAAAGCCCTGGTTCTTAAAAGACAAAATCGCCTCACGCCAACAACGTTATTAAAGTATCTTTTCATGGAATTTGAATGATACAATCCATTCCTTTCTCTATGGAAAAACATATACATGTATACAATTAAATTTAACAAAAACAAATCTGACAAAATACAGAAAATATACAACTGGGTAAAATTGAGAATTCTTTATTCAAATCTTGCACTTCTCTGTCTCAGGAAGTTGATCATGAAAGAAATTTTTTATTTAAAATACCAGGAATTTGTAATCAATATTTAAAATATATTTACATATATGTACACACATGTACATTAATGTCACTGACCAGCCCTTCAGTGTAAACTCTGCAAAAACTGTACGCTCAAATGTGTGCATGCATGTATGCCTCTTTAGTTAGGCCAGTTTAAACCAGTAGAGACTGGTTTGAACTGGTTCAAACCAGATTTGAACCAGTATTTCATATACCTATACAATACACTAAGTTTACTGTCTGATCTACTAACCATGTCTTGCATTGTATCAAACAGTACTACATTACTTTAAAATGCAACTTTTTTATTCCTACTATTTTAGTGAATCAAAGTAGATTTTCACCCGATGGTTTTAAACTTTTTAAGGTCTCTAAATATGTACAGTATTTTGCAGTATTAAAGGCAGACATTTTTTTCTTGTGCATTTTTATGTTAATTTTTTAAAAAAAATTTCTGGTTATCAAGAAATCCTTTGACTGAGATTCGTTTTTTTGTTTGTGTGCATGTGTGTAATTTCATGATGGATCTTTGCATATCAATCCCCCCTAAAGATAGATATATAACTATTATTATTATTTATATCAGGCATACTTGATCAGCAAGAAATGGACACTCTCTTTATTTCTGAAACTTCACCGAATATTCTTTGCTTACCGAAGCAAATTTTGCGCTGCTCGAAGCTGCCATTGTGGCTGTTGACAACAGTGCGCGTATATCATGATGCGCGTATGTCATGCTGCGCGCTGCGTCCGTGCCCGCGTGCAATGGTACCGTGCTACGCTGTGTTGACCGGTTGACAACTGTGAGGTTCTACGCTCTTGATTGTGTGGGAACCAGCAAAAATTGTTAAAATGCCTGGACGAGGAAAATATCAAAAAATAATATTGTCCTCATCTGGGTTCTTTGACTGACATAATATTGCATTCGTCTGTGAACTTTTCATGAAAGCATATACAATACAGTGATTATTTTTATCACTGGAAGCCTGATAAAAATAATAATAATATGGTTTAACTCCGGAGATACAAAATAAATTGCCTCAATATTAACGAAAACAAAACAATGTGTACTATATGATCTTTGAACAGATATATCAAGCGTTCGTATGTGGCGGGTGCATTTTTGGAATAATCTGCTCATTGCACACATAACCCATACAAAATTAAAACTAAAAACGGTTTAAGTTTTTCTGCTTATCAAGGTTGCTTCACTGACGGCAGAAAATGAAAATAATTCAGGTGGAAACCTTTGCTGAACGGTCTACTTTCCTGTAGCATAAAAAGCGTAGTTTGTAATGTCACGTCAGTATTTAAAGCACAGTCAACATTACAAACAATTCAACAGACGAACAAAAATGCAACTTTTCAACTTATGCTACAAGCACTAAAGCACCACATCCTATGAACTTCAAATTAAATATAATTTCAGATTTTTTTCTCATGGAATTTGACAACGGGTAAAAAAAAAATGGAATTACTGATCCAATTGATAAAGTAAAACATCATAACTTCTTGAAACAAAATTGGAAAACAACAGAAAAATTGTGCAGATCTTAATTATGTTAAAGTGTGCAAGAACTCAGCCCCCTACATAAATGTCCATATGATCTTAACATTGCATGGCCAGGTATTTCAATCTTCTCAATTGAAAAAAATCCCACATACAACTGAACAACAAGAATAATGTTTTTCCCAACTTATCTCAATGGTCTCTTTATCTCTTTTTAAAATGAAAAATGGACATTTTGAAATTTTAACAAAAACCTACGTTGTATTTTTTCTTATGTACAAAGTATTTACACATGAAATAGTGAGGCGTGATATTTACAGTGATGAAGATGTTATTAAATTTTCACAGAAAGGGATCTTCAATAATTAACGTATCGAGCAAAACACCCCCCCCCCAAAAAAAGGAAAATTCAAATTTCATTTAATGCTACTTGAAAAATAACTTGCATTGGTGTGTGTAACTATAAGTTATTCATTTTTACTTAAAACACACCGCTACCAAACTATCTACATGGAAGATACCGAAAATGCATATTAATTAGGTATTGCCATAGCGATACCACAAGCAGTTGCGATTGGATGAAAGAGTGAAGGTAGTCACCTGGTATTGGATGCTTTCTTTTTTATGAATATTCATGCCATTCCTGGTACAATCTGATTGGTTCTCATGAAACACATCACGGTCCAAGGTTAATGATATACATGTAATCTATCTGGTTGCAACCAGTCACAGCTAGTTTCAAATCTAGATCCAAAAATACTATCAAATTCTCTTTTAGCTGAGGCAGTTTTGAAAAGTTGTTAGATAGAGTACTCATGCTGTGTGAACATTTGAAAAATACAACCCGTTTTGTTGTTGTTGTTTTTAAAACTATTTACAGCAGACAATAATGATGAAGCATGTATGTCATAGTCATTTATCCCACAAGCGTGAGTGGAACACAGAACAAAGTAGTGTGTCTGAGTACCAAATGCCACGAGGCTGAAGACCAAGTGGTATGTGGGACACTGACGCACCAAATTTTCCATTTTCCATGAGCGCGAGTGGATAACGGATTTATCTTCAAGCCAACTTGACGCACAGTAAAGCTGGATCGAATGCGCGCACCCTGTACACGAACTTTCCAGCGGTTATCCTTAAACACGTGCATGCAGTAGGTATAATGCACATCTAAGAATAGTGCGATACCAAGACTGCGATATGGATAATGTTGTTGCCATGGATCAGCCAATCAGGATCGAGGATTCAAGTTTGCTCGAAGATGCCAGAATTCAGTATTTTTACAGCAAAGAATTTACTCTATGCATAGATTTCAGATTCAAAACTCTTTGTAGAGTTATTTGATCTAAAGTTATTTCAATGCATAAACTATTTGGCAACTTGATTTAATCAAGTGGGGTAATCAATAAACAGGGAAAAAAAAGAAATTCACTGTAAATCTCGCAGCACTTTTGATAGAAAATTCCTGAATCCGACAAAATCAAACACAGTGCACAAAACAAATGGTCATTCTTGAAACTTCATAGGTGCATCAACCCCTGTGCCAAAAAAAATAGCTAGGCCCAACTTTCCTCAATCCTATAAAATCCTTCAAAAAAATTCTGATGGAATTTGTAGGACCCGGGAGTGGTAACGGTTAGAAATCGACCAAGTTACTATGTAAAACATCCAATTAAAAGAATCAGTGTGACAAAAGGTTTAAATTCGGGTTTGTATAAATTTTTGTCACTTTGCATCCCTTGCTAAACTGGCTGTGAGACTTTACGGTAAAACGACACACATACCATGCTACAAATTGTGTCCGTATAAAATTATTGCTTCTACAATCTACACTCAAGTTCAAAGAAAAAAATAACAAGCAAACTTTGTCCTATATTGGCTTAAAATAGAAGAATTTGTGCTACACACAAAAATATGGCTTACAGTGAATAGAGTGAACGATTGAACAGGAACAGCGGCCAACAGAAATCTGGTAAGCACGGAAAATACCTGCTCAGCAAAAACAGGTGCTTGAGGTACAAAGCATGCGAATTATCATAACTTCTGACTTGCTTGGGCAAAAAATATTGTTATTAAGCATTCATTGTCTGCTTTGAACACCCTATGCAAACAGACTTTCTGTGCCAAGTTGTCCTTTCAGTCAAGTGGCTCTTTTCAACAATTGAGAGCTCCCAGCCTAGGTAAAGCAGGATTGACCTAGTGGATAGTGGAGTGAACCATGGATCGCAAGATGGTTTGAACCCTTGTCCAATTTTATGAAATATTTTTGTTGGTTGGCATAAGTTAAATGCAGGGAAAACACTACGAAAACCTAAGTGTACGTCTTCCATCCACACAGCGTGATAAATATTCATGTTAGGGTGCGTGATGTGATTGGTTAAAATACGATGTGTCAGCAAAAAAAAAGGCGCAACCTGGCCCTTGGTTTCCTACGACCTGACCTGTGATGACCTCTGACTTATGACCCCAGGAGTAAGCTAGGAACCATCTTCTATTGGCTACAAATTCTGAAACAGAAGAAAAAAAAAGCGCCGTTATGTATCAATGTCGTCCAAGTCGCCCACGTCGTCCTGAACCAACGTCTTGGAAGACTCGGA